TTCCTTTAGTCCTCACAATAATCTCCTTATAGCCTACCTAACTAAATATTATCTTGTACTGTATATTTAACCTTTTCATATATGTGCTTTTGTCTTGTTTTTGCCGTTGATTCTTATTACAAGAGAAGTAGGAAAAGCCCACTCCAGTTTCAAGGTAGAAGAATTTACATTAGCTCAATGGTTCCCTAATTTCAGTATGCATCTAGAATTATATAGAAGGCTTGTTAAAACAAATTCCTGGTATATTTTCAAGTTCTATGTAAAAGTAGATCTTTTTTTGGAAGAGATAAATATTTTCAAGTTACTCAATTGTTTTTACTGTTTAGAAGACTTGGAAAGAATCAGTTTTATATGCCAATTTAACATCGTTAAAATATGTTTTGGTTATAAAGTAATTATAATCAAAGAAGTTCTGGTAAAGTTCTGTAACATTTTAGTAATGTTATTATTACACAAATATATATTTGGGACTCTGCCATCACATTATTTTGAATGAAGTTTCTTTCACTGGTTTATGATTCCCAGTGCCTAGTACAGTGCTTTCATAAAAGCCTATCAGTTGAATAATAGCAAATCTTTATATTTCAGGTATGGATTTGATTTTCAGAACTTGTCAGATTTTATTCAGAATTATTGAAGAATATGATTGAAGTTAAAGTTATTTTTGGCCAAAATATATTTTAGGCAGAGTATAACATCAAAATATGTTTATATTAATTTGCTTACTAAAACTCTTTTAGTCTGAAATAGTGCAGTTCTGTTGTAATAGGAAATGTAGTTGGATGCAGAAGTTTGCTTTTTATGACTCTTGGGACATGTAGGTGATCCTTTTCTTAACTGTAGGTCACTACCAGAAAAATTCCATAACAAGTCCACAAGAGGTTTGCAGAACATCATAGGAAAAGATTACAATTTGTTTTCACTAACTTTTAAATGAAATTTAGCATTATCTTTAATTAATGTAGACCAGTATCTCAATAATATTGTCACTATCTGTTACTTTTTCACCAACAGAAGTTATAATCAGATGTCATTACATATATTGCAGATATCTCAAAATATCACTACCTGCCACTAGATATTAATTTGTTAATCTTATATGTTTGCTTTATACCTCTGAAAACATTGTTCTGAAGGATCTGAAAGTTTCATCAGATTTGCACAGGAGTGTGTGAATTCCCTTGCATTACACAGAGCTGCAGAGAACCTTTTTTCTAGCATTAGAATTTTGTTTTATTTCAATTTATTATTGATGTCTTCAAGTAATTTAAGATAAAATACTATCTAAATTTCTAAAATGCAATGAAGTATTTCATATCCAGTGAAGAAAAGGGGGAATGCATTGTACTATCTCCTCTCCCAGATTTCAGGCTCTCTCCTATGTTGTAAGGTTTTTCATGGTCTGCCTTCCTGTTTTTGTTCATCTTCACCCAATGATATTTTTTTCCATTAATTTTTATTTTTTATTTTTTTAAATATACCCTTATTGATTTCAGAGAGGAAGGGAGACAGAGAGAGAGAGAGATAGAAACATCAATGATGAGAGAGTCATTGATCGAGCCCGCAACCCGGGCATGTGCCCTGACTGGGAATCGAACCCCAATCGCCTGGATCCTAGGTCAGTGCTCAACCGCTGAGCCACGCCTGGCCGGGCTCCATTAATTTTTAGGGAGAGTGGAAGGAGAGAGGAGTGGGAGACAGAAAATTGATGTGAGAGAGACACATTGATCGGTTGCCTCCAGTAGCTCTAACTGGGCCAGGGATCAAGCCTGCAACCAAGGTATGTGGCTGGAGCTGGAATTGAACCTGGAACCCTTCAGTCTGCGGGCTGAGCCAAACTAGCCAGGGTGGCCTGCCTTCTTAAACCTCATCTCTCAGCGGACTCCCTCTCACTGTCACCTCCAGTCATGCTATATACCTCTTTCAGATTCTTGTCCAGGCTTGCTCTTTCCTGCTCTAGATCTCTACATGTGCTTTTTTTTTTTAATCCTCTCCTGAGGATATGCTTTGAGAGAGAAACATCGATGTGAGAGAGAAACATCAATAGGTTACCTTCCGTATGTGCCCCAACGTGGGATTGACCTACGACCCTGGTATGTGCCCTGACCTGGAATCAACCAGCAACTTTTCCAAGCACAGGGAGATGCTCAACCAACTGAGCCACTCAGCTGGGCACATCCTGAGTGTTCTTCCTTTCTTTCCTCCTCTGTTCATTTCATCTTCTTGCCTGAGGTATTAGTTCTTGGAAGATTCACCTGACTGGGTTACTTCCTTCTGTTATAGGCTTTCTCAACATGGTGTACCTTTCTTAACTATGGCTCGTTACAGTTGAAGTGACCAAATTTCATGTGCGATGATTTGGTCAATGTGATCTCTGCAAAGTTAAGGACCATCCCTGTTCATCTCACCATTATATTCTCAGTGCCTTGAATAGTGCTTGGTAAATCATAGGTGTTCATAAATATGTCATTGGTTGGTTGTTTACATAGATAAATAAAATGAATGATTTAGATTATGATTGTTGAATAGAAATATAATATGAGTCACAAATGCAGGGATGGCAGTAGGAAAACAGAATCAGACAGCGTTAGGAGGTTATTATAAATAATCCAGGTGAGAGATGATAGTGATTTGGACCAGAGTAGTAATGGTAGAGATTATGAGAAATGATTGGATTCCAGATTCATTTTGAAGGTAGAGCTGACAAGTTTGCAGATTTGCTGATGGATTCCTTATCGGGTGTGAAAAATGAGGAGTCAGATGATTTCAGGTCTAAGCAATTGCTAGTTACCATTTACGAAAGTTTAGAAGCCTGTAAGAGAAGTTTGGGGAGGGAGGCAAATCAGATCTGTTTTAGATATGTTGAGATGCGTCTTAGGCATTCAAGAGAAAATAATAGAGGAGGCAACTGAGTAAAAGTCTAGAGGTCAAGGAAGAGGGCCTTTTGATATTTCTACTATTTATGGTGCAGTCTTTTCTATAATGATTGGCGAAATGGTGATTTTTCAACTCTACCAGCTCCTTCCACATTTATCAGCACTTTTATCTTTTAACAAAAGTATTACATGTGATTTATAGAAAAATGTATAGGTAAGCAAATTAAGGCAATTAGCTCTAATCATAGAATTTAAAGGTAATTACTGTTAATCTTTCATACACTAACTTTATTAAAATTGCTGTATAATATTCCATGGAGTACATATTTTATTCATGTTTTTTGTTTGTTTTGGGGTTTTTTGGTACTTACTGTTACTGAAATGAACTTCTGTGAACTTATCTGAGATATATACCATTATGATCAGGACATGGGGGTAAACAACAACAAAAAATCAGAAATTTTACGAAATAACCTAAAGAATTTTAAAGAATATGCTGGGAGAGATTTTGGTTGTACTGCAGTTCAGGTTGAATGGGATGTAGTTTCCTGGAAGTACAACTGAGTAGAAAACTTAATTATACTATATTTTTTCTAAAGAAAAACTATTGCTGTATCATATACAGACTTTCAACTGCCCTACTTTCAGCCCCATTTGCACCTTCTGTGTATTAATGAGTTACTGGTGAGCTACAACAAAACAGAGGAGTCTTGAAATTGTTATACTGAAATAAAGCAGTGAGGCATAAAGGAATACGTACTGTCTGATTCCATTTGCATAAATTTATTTTAAAAATGCAAACAATATTATAGTGAAAGAAGTCAGATCCTTGGGCTGCTTAGAACAGTAAGCTGATTAGTTATTTACTTGGTTTTTCAGATAGTGTATATGCTTCCCTTCCTCTAAGAAGCTTTTCTCAATAACTGGACTATATTCTTAAGATTCCTAAATATTTGGCATTCAGTTAAATTTATAGTCATTATTGTATTTATGAGTATTAAATGTCCCTTATGTATTTCTATGTTGATAATTACTGAACCAGGGTATGCATTGTCTTGTTTTTCCCTTTTGCATCGTTCTAATACACTCTTGCCTCCCACCATAGTCCTGACTCTGATGCCAGCACATAGTGATTTAGAAAATGTTTAACTTGTATACGTTAGCCAGTCAGAACTGTGATTTGTTGTCTTAACCTTAAAAGAAATTGTTTTGAAGGCTAAAAGAACATTGTGAAGTTATATTACTTTTGCTAAATAAACTGATGAAGAGATAAAAGATTGATGCTGTTAAGGGGGAAGAGAATAAACAGTAAGCCCTGGAAATGCAATGTGTAGATTTTCTTCAGCAAATAAGTTTACTGTTACATTGATGGCTCTCTCTGTACTCCATCCGGTAGACTAAGACGTGGCATATGTGATGTGATCCTGTCATATTTTAATTCATTTATTGAGCAAAAACAAGAATATAAGATACTAATTTTATATATTCTTGTGAGTAATGTAAAGCACTAAACCAAATAGTTGACATTTTCAGTAAATGGTTACATTTTGATGCAGGCAGTTTCCTCTAACATAGGTCTGATGTAATGTTCATTTTATCTTTGCTTTTCATTGAAAGCTCTCCTGTCTGTTACTATCAGACATATAAAAGCCTAGACGTTCATTTGAGATACTTAGAAGGAAATTTTAACTTTATTTTGTGATAGAATATAAAAGTACCTTGCCTATAAAATGTAGTGAAATCAAACTCTTCATGATGAGAACTTACTTTTGAATAATGGAGGCAGGAAAAAAGTAATAAATGTCTTTCCTAAGACTTATTTTGGATCTTTTTTATTGTGCTTTCAGTAGTGTTCCCATTAGTTAAGCTAACTGAAAGCATTTGATGAAAAATACTCGCTCTTTTTTTGAAATATGTTTGTAGTTTGTGTCAACTCATTTGTAGGAATGGTGAATGAAATTTAGTGTTTGGTAACTATGTCCTTGAGTTACTTGAGTAGAAAAACAAAAGAATAACAAGAGTGTCTCACCAGCCAGAATGGGTGTGTTTATGATTTTGCTGTAGGTATGATACTTTTAAGAATATAATTAGTTTTGTTTTTCATTTTCTACTTTTTCTCCACAGCCTCACGATTTTGATGAATGTCGATTTGATATTAGTGTAAATGATAGTGTTTGGTATCTTCGTGCTCAGGATCCAGATCACAGACAACAGTGGATAGACGCCATCGAACAGCACAAGGTAAGGTCTCCAATGTTTACCTGTCCATTTTGAAATATAACATGTGTTACTGAAAAGGTGTACATTGTTTTGGTGGTAAAATTAAAGCAGTACAAAAGTAAATTTTTGAAATAGTTTAATTTCTAAGGAAGTTTCTTATAAATATTTTTAATTGTTAACTAAAACAAAATATGCCCTTTTTAGTAAAACAAATCTTGATTTTTATATTTACGATTTGCTTCATAATAAATGCCATTTATATGATCTGGATAAAGGAATTTTTGAAATAACATTGGATTGTAAAACCCTGATATTTAAAAACTTCAACGTTAGGGTCATCTCTAACCATTTGGTTAAATTCTTAGTGTAAACATTTGCAAATCATTTTTTTGTAAATATGAAGTTATCTGGTAATAAGCCTTTAAAAAGTCTTTTTTATATAAATATGTAAGCCACATTCTTATAACTTAAAGCTAGCCTTTGACTTCTGCTGTGAATAAGTGGTAAGTAGACTAAAGAAATAAACGATATTAAATCTGCATTATTAGCTTATTATGGTAAAACAAGAAACAAGGAAAGTTATCAATTTTCCATGCCACGCCTGAGTATGACTTCAGGGGAACTTTGCACTTGTTCACATACTTGTCTATACTTGTTCATTTGGGTTTCACAGAGTTGTAGTTGAAACACCTGTTTTGGTTGAGAGGCACAAAACAGGTATACACACATACACACACAAAGCAAGAAAAACTAGTCTGACCTGGGATATCACAGGCACATTCTTCCTGATATTGATCATGTGTTAGTTTTTATTGTGTGATTATTGATTCTGAATTTTTCCCAGCCTAAAGAAAACTGGCTGATGTCCATCTTTTTCTCTCTGTTTTAACTTGAGTATTATATTGGTTTAAAAATGTTTTGTGACCCTGGCTGGTGTGGCTCGGTTAGTTGGAGCGTCATCCTGTGCACCAAAGGGTCACAGGTTCAATTCCCAGTCGAGGCACATACCCAGGTTCAGGTTCAATCCCTAGTCGGGGCCCAAATAGGAGACAACCAATCGATGTTTCTCTCCCACATCGATTTTTCTCTCCCTCTCTCTAAAATAAAAAACAAAAATAAAAATTTTGTGAATCTTAATTATCTTGGTATTATTACTTGAGAAAAGAGTCTAAAAATGGAAAATAGTTTTCTGTTATTTGAATAGAGACGAGAATTCCAGAATCTCATTGCTTTGGAACCAGGCCTACCTGGAATCAGACACTACAGCCTCTGCAAAGTATAACATATGTGACCCTGGGTATGATAATTCACCTCTGAGTGTGTGTAAGGAATAGCTACGATAGTATATGTAAAGTTACTTACCAGAGTGGCTGATATGTCTTCCCATTTATGACATAGTGGAAAAAAAGATGGGCTTTGGTGTTACAGCTAAATTCACTAAATTATACCATGTTGTTTTTGGATGAAGAATTCTTCAGTGATAGTTGCTAACTGTGCACATAAGGAGAGTGGCCTAGTTTGTAAATTTAATCAGGGCCAGCCCTCTTAATGATTAAAAGATGTTATTAAGTAGAACTAATTTCTATATTTTTAACTGAGATGACTTTTAAAGGCTTAATCAGTTGACTTAGATTACAGGGCTAGATTTTTCTCTTTAATTAAGCATATTTTATTTTGTTTGTTTTTCTTAGTAAAGCTGAACCAGAATTTTTTGCATGCTTCCAGTTCATATTTTCTTTTTGAGTGAAGATATATACATGAAGCGTGTATTTTTTCCATATCATTGATTTCTTTGTGTCTTTGAACAATGGATAGATAAAATCTTTGGTTCTTTTTCAGAGCACTGTGACTTAAGCTGAGATAACAGATTTGTGGTGAATTTAAGTTCTTAGAAAAAACATTCAACAGTAGGGTTCCAGATACATTGTAAACATTTTCTTTCTGATTTCTAAAGATAGTTTATTCATAGACAAGAAAGGAGGAATAGTCGTTATTCTTATTAATATTTAATTATTTAATTTTAATGTAAAATATGTGATGTGCCAACTAAGCAATAAATATATCAGTGAAAATTTAAATTGCATGTGAATTGTAAAAATAAATTGTTTGAGTTACTAAACTAACATATAGGAGAGAGAAAATTCAAATACTATCACTAAATATAATCAGCAACATTTTCTTTTTTTCCATAAACCAGGAATAAGGAGATAGTAAGGCGATGTTTTCTAATTCATTCTTCAGTATCACTAAAGAATATTGAATGTGGAACCTAAATTTATTAATTTTACTATTTAAGCATGCTTTGCTGTATTGCTTTTCAAAATTAATATCAAATTGTTAAGGCATGATGATGATGATAGGAGCTCTGCTGTTTATTGAAGATCACCAAGTACTATGTATTGTTTGTACATCATGTGCTTTATTTTCTCCCTACTATCCTGAGAGGTGAGGGAAGTATTGTTTTACAGAAGAGAAAACTGAGGTTTAGATTAAAATTAAGTAGTTTGCCTGAGAATATACTACCTTTTAGTTCATGGATTCTTAGGATTTAATTTTATGTTGGTTCTGCCTTCTATCGTTTACCATTGATAGACTCTGAATGTTTGAAAGTAGTTTCTACAAGTTTACCTCCTGCGGTTAGAGTGCATATTATCTGAGTTCTACCATATTTATGCAAGACAAATATGAACTCTTTCTGCCCATGGGTTGTCAAAAAGAGCATTTTATTGTATTAATTAGTGTTTGAATACTGGATTCTGGGGGTCTGACAAATATGGGATTGAATTCTGGCACTGTTACTTAATAGCTGTGTGACACTGGTAAATTACTTAAAGAAGGAAAGTTGACAGTATGCAGTGTGTGCACCACTACCCCCAAACAAAAACAAGCAAGCAAAATTACCCAGTTACAATAAATCAAGAGTGTTGTACTTTAAAGTTGACCATCATTCCAACTCATTCAATTCATAGTTACTTCCTCATTGCCCCACCTGTCCTTATGATTGTTGGACAGGACACTTGGAATAGTGGTTCTGTCTTTTTCTCTTTCAGTGTCATCAGATGGACCTTCATTGTCTTTTTTTGCTATTGACAGGTTTGAGTAATTTTCAGTATTTGGAAGAAGTTCGAGGTTTCTGTTTTCCTTCCCAGGAGGCCCTTATGGTCATTATAATAATCTCTGTGTATTAGTGTCCGTCCCCCCCCTTCCCTTCTCCCCCCACACACCACCACACACAACACACAACACACACACACACCACCACCACCACCACCACCACCCCCCCCTCCCAGCAGTTCTATCTTATAGGACCTCTGTAACAATAATATGATGATAAGGATAGCTAACATTTGAAAATTGATGTATGCCAGATAGGGAAATAAACACTTTGTATACATTATTTCATTTTACTCTCACAGTGTTATGAGTTTAACATTATTATCCTATTTTTACAGATTAGGAAATTGAGACATAGGTTAAGTAACTTGTCCAAGGTCAAACTGCTAATTAGTGAAGGAGCCAGCATTCAGACCCAGGTCTGTCTGACCTAAGAACCAGAGCTTTTGGCCAGCAAGCACTTCTGCCATCCTATAAGTATGTATTTATTTGAAATATATTTTGTTGACTTAAATCATGGGCTTCTTGAATCACAATATTCTCATTTTTAAATGTTCTTCATATCTCTAGTGTTTATTTTAAACCATAAGCTCCTAAAAGTTTCAGTTTATCAACTTCTTTATAGTAATCAGCAAAGCATTGGGCACATAAAATTTCCAGTTGAACTAATTAACAGTATTGTGAAACGTTTTATGGGGGAAATATGTGATTTTTGAATTTTTCTTTTAATCTTATGGTTGGTGTTAGAATAATTACGGGCAGAAATGCAGTGTAGAGTTCTGCTGCTCTGTCTAGCCCTGTTGCTTTGTCCTAGGTATTCATTTCAGAACAATTTGCTCACTACAGGAAAAGTTTTAAAAAAATAAGTCTGATACATATTTCCTCAATGTGCTAGAAACTGCTTAATTCGGTGTGACATTAGACAGTGGCCCCTGTGGAAGAAAGAGATTTCTGAGATCATTCTTAAATTTGAAGGATCTGCTTCAATTTAAAATATAGAAGGGGACATATGCATACCAGACCAGTGATTTTATTTTAAAATAGTGTGCTGGCTTTATTGTGTGGAGTCCATTCATTTCTCTGGGGATTTAAGGCAATACTAAATAAATGATTTTTAAAGACGTAGGGGTTTTTGTTTGTTTTAAAATCTCTTGGCCATCTCCCGTGCTGTCTTGGTGTCAAATGAGGTGGTGGTTGTGAAAATGATTTTAAAAGTAAAAGCTGCATGAATGTAAAGTTATTTTTTTATCAAGTTAATACTTTTCTAGTAAAAATGTGTCTTATTATCAAAGGGCCTCAGTGAGTATTTTCTGCATAATTAGTTTATCAAGGAAATGTCAACTCATCTGCTGATACTATTATTTAAGAGTTACAGGATTATGCCTAGCATCCTCTACAGTTACAGTATATGATTTTTTTTAAAAAAAGCTAAACTTCTAATCTTCTAATCCCCCCCCCCTTTTCTAATGTTTTTATTGATTTCAGAGAGAGGAAGGGGGAAAGAGAGATAGAAACATCAATGATGAGAGAGTCTTTGATGGGCTGCCTCCTGCATGCCCCTTACTGGGGGTTGAACCCAAAACCTGGGCATATGCCCTGACCAGGAATCAAACTGCGACCTCCTGGTTCATGGGTTGACGCTCCACTAATGAGCTGCGGCGGCCAGAGGCAATACATGTGATTTTGACTAAACACACTTTCTTCTTACTATGAAAGAAATTGACTTCCACCACCACCCTCAAAAACAAAAACAAAAAAACAGCAGAAAGGCTCTCCTGGCACTAGCAGATTTAAGAATCACATTGAAAAAGTTTTTTGACTCTAACAGAGTTTGTGGTAATCATGACATTCCTTTATGTCCATAAGGAAGAAAGCTTATTAGATTCTGAAATTTTGGTAATCATGGG